TACAATAAAAAGGGTTTTTACGACACGCAATGCATGCTGTAAAAACCCTTCTACGACGTGCAGCGCGCATCATATTATGATCAGCTATGGAAAGTCATTCATTTTCAACGACATGCTTTGTACGCCGTTAAAAACTATTTAACGGCAGATTTTGTGTGTCGTTACTTTTTCTACGACATGCTATAGTACGCCATTAAAAACTATTTAACAACCGATTTTGTACATCGTTGTTACTTTTTCTACGACTACTTTTGCACGCCGTTAATTGGTGAGACAAATAACGGTGCTGATTGTGCATCGTAAAATATGTAATACAATGACTTGTTATGCTTGCCGTAAAATATGCATTTTTAAAATTAAAAAAAAAATTAGCAGGTTCTATTTAACCAATCTTGTACAATCTAACAAATATTACAAACAAACATCACAAAACATCAATCAACCACCAAAATATTGTTTGAAACATCAAAAGAAACTATATCCATAAATTATAAACATTTAATAATTGTCTATACATTCCAAACTATCGAAAACTATATACTTAAGTTCTAAATTGTACAAAAAGTTTAAACGATCCAAAACTATGCATGTCTAACTTTCTAAACATATCGACAACTATTAAAAGATTATCTAAAACTACTGACAACAGTTCCTATAGCAGTTGCAGCTTGTAATAACCCCGACCTCTGATTAATGTTAATTTGCACTTAATTATGCCTAACAGTAGATTAGGAGGAATTTGGAATTAATTTGCATGTGTGTTGTTTGATTTGTTGTTTGATTTTTGTGTTCTATCTGTTCGGTGTAGAACGATCTGTTCATGTTTTGACTTTGAACTGCGAATTGAAAGCCTTATCGGCGCTCTATTTCGAAATTGATTAATGTTATGTGTTAATTAGAATTTATGCGATTTTCTGGTAGATTTAATTTAAATTTGATTTGGTATGATTAAATAAAGTTAAATTACATCAACTTGAATTAATTGCATCTTTGTTACTAGTGGGCACTTTAGGCCATTAATAGATTTTATATCTTTTTGCATCATTCGTTCATTCTTTCTTAGACCAATTCGAGAGAGAGAGGGAGAGTAGGAGAATTTGAGTTCAACAAGAGATTTAGCTTGGAGACTTAGAAGAAATTAAAGAAGAATTGCATATTTGATCTCCTACACCTAGAATTCAAGACCTAAGGTAGATATTTCATCCCCTTGAACTTGAATTTGAATTGTTTCTTTCATGGTTCATGGTTAATTAGTGTCTAAAGCTAGGCATTGGGTTAAAATGTTGAATTGAGGATTAATTCATGCATGCATGCATGTTTCATAGCATTTTGAAGGATAAGTTTCAAGAATTTCCTTATACATGTGTTGATTTCATTCTAATTTTGGAAACCCAATGAGTTTCATGTTGTTTGATAGCATTTGATCATGTTTTGGAGAGCCTTAGCTCAAAAATGCACATGCATGTCATGTTTTGGATCATCTATAAAGTTTAAGTTGAGTTTGTGCATAATTGGTTTGCTTTTGGGCCATGATTTCTTGAAATGATGCTTTTAACATGTTGTTTTATAGGTTACCAAGTGTTTTCCAAAGTTTTGGCCCAGAAAAATGAGTTTTTGATGGTTGAATGTTGAATTTCATGTTTGGAGGTCAATCTGGATTTTCCAGAAATTTGACCCACGCTCGAGCGGGGACTTTCACGCTCGAGCGTGAACCCTAAGTACATGCATTCTGCTCGAGCAGCGAGAGTTACACTCGAGCGTGAAATGCGTATACCCAGAAGTTTGTGTGTTTTGCATTCCGCTCGAGAGGGGGAACCCACGCTCGAACGAGACTCTGAGTCTCACGCTCGAGCGTAGGTCGAGCGCTCGTCGAGCGTGAAAATCTTGCATCCAGCACTTTTGTCAAATTTTACAGTCCGCTCAAGCGGGGAAGTCCACGCTCGAGCAGAGCTTCGACATCTGCATGTCCGCTCAAGCAGGGAAAGCCACGCTCGAGCATGGACCTTATTTCAGCAAATTTTATGAAATGTTTTCCAATGCATTCTTACATCCTCATTCCATCCTAGGCATTCCTAGGCCATGTTTAAGACTCCATAATGAGGATTGAAGGTTAGAAGCATACTAAGAGCAAACGAAACAGGTTGTGTTCAATTCGAAAGTATGTTTCAAGTGTGTATCTGTTATGTGTTCTGTAGGTCACGCGCCATGCACTATTAACCAATCTGCTCCGTCTGTCTGTCTCAAGGCCAACTGTGAATAACAACTTAGTAAAGTTATGTTCAACTGTATTTATTTTCTGTGTGATAAAATGAGATCTGTTTTCTGAAATGATATTTTCTGTTCAATGAATGATTGTCTAATTTCTGATATGTATTCGTGACATCCTTAGCATCATGCGATATATGTTGGCTGTTACCTGGTATCGGAGGTTTCTTTATGGAACTTAATCTGTTAGCACTCTGTTACCCGTATCGGAGGCCCCGTCACGGGGGCTTAGCATATTTCTGTTCTGTTCTGTTACCCGGATCTGAAGGTTCCTTTATGGAACTGGTTATTCGTAACCTCACGTGTATACGTTCTATTATGTTCTGTTCTGTTCTGTTAATGCTAACGGATGTATCACGTATGCTTGCGCATGACTTATGATTTCTGTCTGTATATGATATGGACAAATTATGATTTTGATATGAAACGGAATTATGATTTCTAAATCTTTTCGGACTCATTCATTGAAACCCTTTTACTCTGTTATTGTTCACTGGGCTTTCGCTCACATTTTATATTATATATGTAGGTGAGCCGGCGTGTGACCAGGGCCAAAGTTGACGGCCATCGTTTCTGTTTTTTTCAGTCAACCGTTGTGCCTCCCGAGGAGGTCCTTATTGAAGTCTATTTCCATGGTTGTTTTTGTGCTTATGCTAGTCTCTGTGACTACTTTGTAAAGTCAGGTCTTGGGAAGTTCACTTCTGCCAATATTTTGTAAATATTGGTGTCCTTGACTGGCATGCTTATGTATATATATAAGTTTTGAAATGTGTTGTACTATGTATGTTATCACAGCTCATTGGACCTTATCTATTTTGTATAATTGCTTCCGCAGCCCCTTACTATTTGCTAATCTGTTCAGAGGCCTTCGGTAATCCATGGATTACTGGCCGGTTATGATACTAAACCTACAGGGGCGGGTTTGGGTCGTGACACAGCTACAGTTGTAGCAAATCCACTTGCTCCTATCACAGGGACAAGGGTGCCCAATGTATATGTCACCTAAACTCGCGGCAATAACTATAGTAACTAACCCTGTTGCATTTCTTGTCTACATAACAAAGAAAACTTCACATAAGTACAAAAACAAACGACTTAGGGACAAAAATATTTCTTGAGGTATTAAGAAATGATCAAGAAATTTTAAAACATAAATGCAGCACCTACTTGGGACTTGCATGGTTATGGTAAAGGATTTCTATGTATGAGGTTTAGGTTTGTATAGGTTTTATCCATTACTATTGTAAGTTCCAAAATAAAGAGTCCAAGTCAAATTAGAGTCTATATTATTTACAAGTTAAAAAAGAAACTTTCAATCCATTATAGAATAAATTTAGGTACGTTTTAGTAGCTTTAGGCGCTTTTTGGGACAATGTAACGTAATTCTACCTGAGTACTTAGTAGCAAATACATAAGATAAGAAACTATAGGAATAATCTCTAAGCTAATCTTTTTCTTCTCTAATTTTTAGCTAGTATTTAATTCAATCACAAGCTATTACTAAAGAATAGGGGCACTTTTATAAAATATGGAATTGAGCACAAATCAAATTTCAGTATCTCATTCATTTTAGATTCAAGTTAGCCATCCCATGTGATGATAGTTGTCAGAGAAAACCTTAAATACCCATGTGATGGTAATTGTTAGAGAAAACCTTGAACACTAGCCTTTTTTTTAATCACATTAAATTCATCAACTGTTATTTGCTACCACAGTCCTTAGAATTCTAGCATAGGCAGCAAGACAAAAGTAAAATACCACGCTTATTTTATAGAAAAATTTCAATCCTTCAGTGAAAGAAAAGACACTTTATACAAAATCAATTGTTTGGTTTCATAATTTTTTTCCTTTTTAGTGGCATGTAGGGAAGGAGGTGAAAATGATGTCTGAACTCCTAGACAACCGAAACCCAAGCAAAGAAACTATCATGCAAGTATTCTTACATGAAAAAAAAAAAGAAAAAGCATTCAAAAGGTCTGTGCATAAATAGCCAAGAATAAATTATATTAACCATTCCACTTAAAAAGTCAAGCCAATCTGATATTAGTCATGCATGTCAAAAGAAAAAAAAATAAACAGGAGAACTCGAAAAAACTGATATTAGTCATTTATTATTTATTAAAGTTGCTTGACAGATAAAATTGCTTCATAAAAAAAAATTAAGAGAGAGAGAGAGAAAAAAAAAGGGAGGGAGACAATAAAAGGAATGATAGTGCAATTGTTCTTGAAGGCATAACAAGCATTGGATGCCAATAATGTTTTGTATCACTAAAAGGCCAAACCCAATGATATGTAAGTAATATAATTAGTTAATAATTAGAGAAAATATGAGATAAAGTGTTACATTTAGGGTTGGTTTGGCAAGGGCTCATTGGGCTTTTTTGGCTCAATGAGCCATAAAAGACAGAATAGGCTCATGAGCCACAACAGACAAAACATCTCATCCAACCCCATAATCATTACACTCTTCTCTCACAAAAAAATCAAAAAAGCCAAAAAGCCAAAAGCCCTTCCCAAACTAAGCTTTTGAGCCCAGGCTCATATAGTCAAAAAAGCCAAAAAGCCAAAAAGCCAACCTACTTCCCAAACGGAGGCTTAATACCCTAATTAATTGTCACATCATTGAACTTAAAAAGTGAATCTAATTTTTTGTCTTGAATAGCAATGCTTAAAATTTAAATATAAATTGTCAATGGATTTGTGTTTGTACCGTAGATATAAATCACATTAATAATTCATTCAACACATGGCACCTGTTGGTCTTTGACATGTAGCCATTTGTAAAAGAGAAAGATTAAGGCCTTGCCCAAGAGTGCGAAGTCATTACCATATGTCCCAAGATAGAGGTATTTGTTGCCAAATACTCTACCAATCCTAGTTTCCCATCTTCCATTATGATGATGTCTGCTTATTGACATAAAAATACAATAAGTAAAAAAGAACAACACATTTGCCATCTTGAATTTGTGATAAGAAGATAGGCAACTTGAGCTACATATGGATTACAATAGTGGCAAAAATGCCAAAATTTAAATTATGAATAAATTAACATTAAATCGACAATAAATCCGTTACTTGCATCTCCAAGTCAATAATTAAAATTTGTGTTCATAAAATTTGAAGAAACCTTAAAAAGAAACAAGTTGCGTGTTGAATCATATCATGCATTTGATAAAAAGAAACAAGTTGCGTGTTGAATCATATCATGCATTTGATTAGGAGACTTATAGTATTATTGGAAAATAACAGGTTTAGCTTTCTGTTGATAACAACCACATAAAAAAAAATAAAAAAATAAAAAGGAAAATTATCAAAGAACTGTTTTTTTAATGACAGACAAATAAACAAGTAATTAACAGATAATATGCAACTGTTTTTGTTCCCTTGCAACTCCTCTATATTTTGATACTCCTCGAGAAAAACCACTGCTTTTCCTACAGGATCAACACAAAAATTTACCTTAATACAAAATATATAGCTTATTAATTTTCTTTACTATAGCTTTTCATTAGTAATGAAGTTTACCTTCTCAGTGATCCAATAAATTCATCTCTGGATATACCCTCCATTTCTATCAGTTGTTTTTGGTAAGTTGGTAACTATATTTTTGGTAAGTTGGCAAGTTGGTAAATAAATATATATACATAATATGAGGAGAGAAGTGATATTGAACCTTGTCTTCCTTTTTGTTTTCTGATTCATTCCAAGCTTGTAATCTGACAAGTATCTCAATTTCATGGCTGTTTAAAGCAAATCAAAGTTAAATATAAACAATTAAATAATGATACACTAACATAATGCTACACTATGAACAATTAAATAATGATACACTAACATAATGCTACACTACACTAACAAACTCAATGATGATACACTAATATACACTAACAGCCCCCCGCAAACTCAAGGAGGGAAAGCATCAACCAAGTTGAGTTTGGAAACAAGAGCATTGAAGTGGCCAGGAGGATGAGCCTTAGTGAAGATATCAGCGGGTTGATCGATGGAAGCTATAGGGAGAAGACGAACAGTACCACAGGTAACATGCTGGCGAATGAAATGACAATCAATCTCAATATGTTTGGTGCGATCATGAAAAACATCATTGTGAGCAATCTGAATGGCACTCTGATTGTCACAATAGAGAGGGGTAGGAGCAGAAGAAGAAACACCCATATCAGCAAGAAGCCAGCGAAGCCAGAGAAGTTCCTGAGTAGTATCAGCAAGAGCTCGGTATTCAGCTTCGGTGCTAGAGCGGGCAGTGAGGGATTGTTTTTTGCTACGCCAAGCAAGAAGAGAATCCCCTAAGAAGAAGCAGAATCCCGTGGTGGAGCGTCGATCCGTAGGAGGATTGGTGGGAGGAAGAACCGGTGGAGAAGGAGGTGTGGCAAGAAGAGGTAGACCTTCAGGGAGAGCAAGCTGGACGGGATCAGGAGTGAGCAAGGGCGTCTCGATGGAGGAGGAACCTGTATCAAAATCAGCAGAGAAAAGATCTACAGAAGGATTAGTAAATAGTACAGTAGTGGAGAGTGCGGGTAAGTGAAAAGAGGATAGCGAGGAAAACATTTGGTGCTCCCAGAAAACGACATGGCGGGAGATACGAAGACGTTTAGAGAGAGGATCCCAACAGCGAAAGCCTTTATGTTCAATTCCATACCCAAGAAAGCAACAAAGACGAGAACGAGGTTCAAGCTTGGTGTGTTCATGGGATTGAAGTAGAACAAAGAACAATTAAATAATGATACACTAACATAATGCTACACTATGAACAATTAAATAATGATACACTAACATAATGCTACACTATGAACAATTAAATAATGATACACTAACATAATGCTACACTATGAACAATTAAATAATGATACACTAACATAATGCTACACTATGAACAATTAAATAATGATACACTAACATAATGCTACACTATGAACAATTAAATAATGATACACTAACATAATGCTACACTATGAACAATTAAATAATGATACACTAACATAATGCTACACTATGAACAATTAAATAATGATACACTAACATAATGCTACACTATGAACAATTAAATAATGATACACTAACATAATGCTACACTATGAACAATTAAATAATGATACACTAACATAATGCTACACTATGAACAATTAAATAATGATACACTAACATAATGCTACACTATGAACAATTAAATAATGATACACTAACATAATGCTACACTATGAACAATTAAATAATGATACACTAACATAATGCTACACTATGAACAATTAAATAATGATACACTAACATAATGCTACACTATGAACAATTAAATAATGATACACTAACATAATGCTACACTATGAACAATTAAATAATGATACACTAACATAATGCTACACTATGAACAATTAAATAATGATACACTAACATAATGCTACACTATGAACAATTAAATAATGATACACTAACATAATGCTACACTATGAACAATTAAATAATGATACACTAACATAATGCTACACTATGAACAATTAAATAATGATACACTAACATAATGCTACACTATGAACAATTAAATAATGATACACTAACATAATGCTACACTATGAACAATTAAATAATGATACACTAACATAATGCTACACTATGAACAATTAAATAATGATACACTAACATAATGCTACACTATGAACAATTAAATAATGATACACTAACATAATGCTACACTATGAACAATTAAATAATGATACACTAACATAATGCTACACTATGAACAATTAAATAATGATACACTAACATAATGCTACACTATGAACAATTAAATAATGATACACTAACATAATGCTACACTATGAACAATTAAATAATGATACACTAACATAATGCTACACTATGAACAATTAAATAATGATACACTAACATAATGCTACACTATGAACAATTAAATAATGATACACTAACATAATGCTACACTATGAACAATTAAATAATGATACACTAACATAATGCTACACTATGAACAATTAAATAATGATACACTAACATAATGCTACACTATGAACAATTAAATAATGATACACTAACATAATGCTACACTATGAACAATTAAATAATGATACACTAACATAATGCTACACTATGAACAATTAAATAATGATACACTAACATAATGCTACACTATGAACAATTAAATAATGATACACTAACATAATGCTACACTATGAACAATTAAATAATGATACACTAACATAATGCTACACTATGAACAATTAAATAATGATACACTAACATAATGCTACACTATGAACAATTAAATAATGATACACTAACATAATGCTACACTATGAACAATTAAATAATGATACACTAACATAATGCTACACTATGAACAATTAAATAATGATACACTAACATAATGCTACACTATGAACAATTAAATAATGATACACTAACATAATGCTACACTATGAACAATTAAATAATGATACACTAACATAATGCTACACTATGAACAATTAAATAATGATACACTAACATAATGCTACACTATGAACAATTAAATAATGATACACTAACATAATGCTACACTATGAACAATTAAATAATGATACACTAACATAATGCTACACTATGAACAATTAAATAATGATACACTAACATAATGCTACACTATGAACAATTAAATAATGATACACTAACATAATGCTACACTATGAACAATTAAATAATGATACACTAACATAATGCTACACTATGAACAATTAAATAATGATACACTAACATAATGCTACACTATGAACAATTAAATAATGATACACTAACATAATGCTACACTATGAACAATTAAATAATGATACACTAACATAATGCTACACTATGAACAATTAAATAATGATACACTAACATAATGCTACACTATGAACAATTAAATAATGATACACTAACATAATGCTACACTATGAACAATTAAATAATGATACACTAACATAATGCTACACTATGAACAATTAAATAATGATACACTAACATAATGCTACACTATGAACAATTAAATAATGATACACTAACATAATGCTACACTATGAACAATTAAATAATGATACACTAACATAATGCTACACTATGAACAATTAAATAATGATACACTAACATAATGCTACACTATGAACAATTAAATAATGATACACTAACATAATGCTACACTATGAACAATTAAATAATGATACACTAACATAATGCTACACTATGAACAATTAAATAATGATACACTAACATAATGCTACACTATGAACAATTAAATAATGATACACTAACATAATGCTACACTATGAACAATTAAATAATGATACACTAACATAATGCTACACTATGAACAATTAAATAATGATACACTAACATAATGCTACACTACACTAACAAACACAATGATGATACACTAATATACACTAACAGATCCAATAAATTCATCTCTGGATATACCCTCCATTTCTATCAGTTGTTTTTGGTAAGTTGGTAAATAAATATATATACATAATATGAGGAGAGAAATGATATTGAACCTTGTCTTCCTTTTTGTTTTCTGATTCATTCCAAGCTTGTAATCTGACAAGTATCTCAATTTCGTGGCTGTTTAAAGCAAATCAAAGTTAAATATAAAGACAAACAATTGTCAGCCATAGGAAATAAGCACAACAAAATACACCCAGCTTAGTCCCATTGGGTGGGTAAATTGGGTACAAACCTAGAATATTTGCACAAAGTAGCTAACCTCATGAATGAAACTATAACCTCAAATTTAAAAGACTGAGTTTTTAACACTGAACCCTAGCCCCTAAACCAGAGAAAATAACAAAACTCTAAATTCCATACTTACCAATAGAAGAAACCCACAAAACCCAATTTCAATAGAATGGAAACTTACAGAATGTATGTTCAAAATCATCATTTGATTGAAGCAAGAAACTGTCTCTTTCTCTAGTCTTCATCTCATTGAAGAGAGCATGATTGTCATTTTTCTCCCTGAGGAGTATCCTGCCCTCGAGACTGCGTCCTTTTTTGTGATTATCCCCTTTGATCTCCCTTATAGGGGAACATCTCATTGCTGGAGAAGGAGGCATCTCCACCTCCCTATTTCACTGCACAATGACTAACATTTCAAACCTTCCATAAAACTGAAATGGAAAACCTCACTAAACCCTCCTAATCGATAACCAAACTCAAGTCCCAATTGATATAAATATGAGTGTCAAAATGAACTCAAACTCAATCAAATTCAATCAACTTCACTTCTATTTCCATAAAAAAATCTATCTTGCATTTAAATTGACTCAAAACTCACTCAATAACATCAAAAATCATCATAATAACTGAAATTCCAGTGCCACTTGAAATGCAAAGCCATAACAACCATATCTACACGTCAACCATATCTTCTAGTACATATTACTTATGCTTATCAAACTTTGAAATATAATTAAACTAAACTGAAAATTTGGGTGTTGAAAATCAAAACAACTTTAGCATTGCTAATTAAATAAGGCATGGCTAAACTGGTTGTATTAGAAGCAAACACCACTACCTTCCTTATTTCCATTTTATTTTAATGAACAGTTTCCTATTGGAGTAAAAATGAAATGATTGTTCATAGCAATTACAAAAAGTTCTTCCTCATTGTTCAGATTTGAATACTAACTGATTCTAAACAAAGGCATAAAAAGAAGTAAGCATCATATGAATGGAAAGATGATAGACTGTAGTATTCACAGTTTATGGCCTCATCTAGTCACCATAAATAGGCATAACTTTGAGTATTCAAATAGCAAACTTGAGCCAATTTCCTAGAGGCTTATCTAACTTGAGGATGACTTTTTATATTCAAGTGATATACAACACATGTGAATCCTCTTGAGTGTTACAAACAATTTAAGAGTCTACTGGCAAACACTGCTTAAGAGTGTTGTTCCCCCAAAAAAAGAAAAAAGAAAAAATAAATAAAAATAAAAAATCTAAAAGGATAACATGGCTAGCAATCAACAACCATTCATGGCTTTCTTTGGAATACAATAAAAATGGTAATGTGGCATCAGAACCACCCCTTAAAAGGCACACAAACGGATTACACATCTCTCAAGCCATATGCCTCAATGGCTTTTATTCCAACAATCAAGTTACCAAACAAGGAATTACAGTACACCATCCCTAAATTTATTTATTTATTTAACATTACACCAAAAAAAGACCACCATACATGTGATCTTACAACATAAAGCACAAAGTTTTGCACTATAGAACTAGAATCTTTTTACGGAACTGAGTTGTTTGACCAATACAAAATCAATGTACGCCAAGAATTTATCCTAAAAAAGAGACTTGGTAAATTGACACTATTAAGTCTCGTTTAAACACTCAGAACAAGCATCCAAACACTAAACCCCAAATTGAAAAGCCCCAAATTTTGAAATTAAAAAACCTTAAACCCTAATTTTCAAATTGAAAAGCCTCAAATCAAAACTCAAAACCCTAGTATCTGAACATGCACCTGAAATTGGGCGGTGGGGGGAGAGGTGCGAGAGCTCCAGCCAGAGGAAGAGGTGAGACGGCTCTATTTGCTTTGTTCGCGAGGTCTTCGTTGATTGGAGGGAGAAGCGGAGACCGGAGGGAGAAGCGAAGACAAAGGGGGCTGCGAAGGAGGTAACTCCAAAGGACTGCTCGAGCGACGCAATGGACGTCACGAGAAAAGGAATGGCTGTTGCTCCGAAGGACTGCTCTTCCCTCCGTCTCTCTTCATGGTCTCTCTTCCTCTTCTCTCTCTCTCTCTCTCTTCTTCGTCTTCTCTCTCTCTCTCTCTCTCTCTCTATTTTTTTGGTCATTCCTCACAATGGCAATTGTGTTTCAGTCATACCTCACCACAACAATTGTGTTTCAAATATTGAGAAGAAATTTGAATTTGGGACAAAATTTTGTAGTAAAAATTGGTTTTAATTTATATTTTTTGTTTTAAGTTTTATTATTTATTATGTTTGTAATTTTACCTTTATTAAAGTTTAATTAATATTTTGAATGAAAAAATAAATTTAAGAAATTTTATGATTTTAATCAATAAATAATAATTCTATTACAAAATAATTACTATTATGTTCTTAATAATTTATGATACACAACTGAAGAGAAGAGATGAGACGATCCTAGTACCCTAGCAATTGATTCAGCCTTTATCATTATCAGAGAGAGAGAGAGAGAGAGAGAGATTGAAACCCTTATGATGTTCCATTCTGATTAGAGGAAAGCAAAATAGTTATTTTGGGAAAAAAAATTATAATTTTTTTTTTTTTTGTTGATGATTGGCGTCCCAAATTTCATTTTGGCATTTTTTTTTCCATACAATTCACGACATGCATTGTGCGTCGTAGAAAGGCAATACTTTTAACGATAGGCGGTGTGTGCGTCATAAAAAGTGCAATACTTTTACTGGCAAGCATTGTGTACGCCGTGAAAAGTATTCACTTTTCATGACTGGCGTATGTGCGTGTGTATAATTGATGTATTAACGGCACGCCATATGCATGTCATAGAAAGTTTTATTATTTACGGCATGCATTGCAAGTCGTAAAAAAATCATCGTTATTAACATCCACGGCCTACGCAATAGACACGCTGTGGTTGAAAAAGTATTTACAACGTACAAAAAAAAAAGTCGTAAAAGTGAGAAACTATGACATGCATTTATTGTATGCCGTTGATGTAGTGCCGTAAAAAGTCAGTTTTGTTGTAGTGAATTAAACTAACTAGCTAATCCCGGGAAACGAGGAATGCATGCATGCTAGATCCTTCACTCGAAAAAGCCACTACTTTGCTGTTGCAAGCCCCTGTTTGCACATATGATCACTGAAAATTGTGCTAACTTCCAGAACACCTCTGCTCCACCTCAAGAACACACTGTACAAAAATCACTAATGGCCAACAAGGGGGACAAGGGGCTGGTCGGCTACCAGTGGTGGCCGGTCGGCCACTGGTGGTGGCTGTTAGCCACTACTGGTTCACAATTGTATGGTGCAACAGAGAGCAAAACAGTATATTCTCACAGGTTGTCTATATTGTTTACCCTCCTTATCATCACACAAGCTCAAAGGAGAGAAACTCTTGCCCCTCAAACCATCAATCAAGCAATTTCCATGCATGATGGCTAAGGGACCAACTTTGTACAAGTTTAGTAAATGCACAAACAAGACCAAAAAGACCACCACCCTATCATGCATGATCAAGGACAATGGTGACCAAGGAAAGTGGCACATTTCATCACTTTTGAATATGAAATGTCCTATTTTCCTTGTGTTCGAATTAACGTCTGATTCGAACACATGTAATGCAACACGGAAGATGCTTATCTTGCCTCTTTTACTTGTTAATTTTTGTTTACTTATTTTAATTACCAAACCATTCATTAATCCAATTGTCCATTGGTGATTGTCCTCTAGTGAAAAGAGGGCTCAAACCACAACTTGCTTTGGGCATGAAAGAGGCATTACACTGTTGGTAATGAACCCCCTAAGAGATTAAACCATTAGGTGTAACACCTCAATTTCATACTTAGGCAAACAAGTGGTTTGAAACCACTTTCAAAGCAAATCAAAAGTGAAGAATTGAGGAGGATTAGAGAGGTGATTAACTGCTGAAATAAGGTGGAAAAAGCACTAAAACATGCAACCAACTCACACCAATGCTAGTTAAAGCCTTAAAACACTAAGCTAGTGAAGGAATTAACACTAGGACCATGCCATGCAAGGCTCAAATAAAACAAACAACCAAAAACAGCGGCAAAACAACCCTAAACATGGTCTGAAACATGTTGGACTCAAGACACAAAAAGCCAAAACATTAAGCTAATGCATGGGGTTACACTACAACTATGCAAAGCAAGACTCAAACAAACTAACCAGCCTAAAACCGGACTAAAACAAGTTATTTCAAAGGTTAAAACATGCTGAACTTGAGCTAAGTTAAGCTAGAAAAACATGCTAACATATGAAGCTAACTAGGCATACAAACAAGACATGAGGAGGGGTGGCTAACCCCTCCAATTTTGGACTTCAAAATAAGTTTTTGGCTACTGAAAAACCTTTGAAATTCAGTGGTTAAAAGGCCCAAAAAAATTGATTTGAAAGTGATGAATATAGGCACAAAAGTTTAGCAAACTAGTAAGCAAGAAGGGCGAACCACCCTTAACTAAATGAAAGGCTCAAACCAACATTTTCGGTCATAAAAACATAGGTTTTTATAGGTCAAAACCAGGCAAAAAACAATTGAAATAGATGGCAAAACAAGTATCTTGAAACAAAGCAAACAAGACAAGCTTTATACCTTTGAAGCAAGACTCAACTTTAGGCACCAAACCAAGCTAAAACCTCTTGCTAGAGCTCAAAGAGAGTCCAAAAGAATCTCAGCTCAAAGGTAAGTAGATTTGGTTTAGGAGGTATAAGCAAAAGCTAAGGATTTGTGAACAAATGCATATAAAATTGCAAGAGAGAGAGAGAGAGAAATCTAGAGAGAGGGGGAGAATTTTGTTTCAAAATTGCTAACCTCTCAGAATGGGGGAGGAACCCCCATATTTATAGAAAAACACCCTCTAAGCTTGGAAACATCCCACCATACACGTGTAGGGAGATGCAACTTATTGTGCTCACAGTTGGCACAACTGTCAACAAATATCTGGAAAGAAGCATTGGTGGCCGTCGGCCACCAGTGGTGGCCAACCGGCCACACCTCTGGCCGACAACCATTATCCATTGTCAACAGCCCATGGTGGTGGCCAACAAGTCACCAAAATGTTCTAGACTCAAAAACAACAAGGATTGGCCCAAATCCAAGCACAAAACAGATAAGGTTTCAAGGCTCAAAGGCAAAGCACTCCACTGAGAACTTTGAGCACTCAAAACGAACACATGCAACCATAATCATCAAGTACACAAGCGATGACGTCCGAGTCTTGAGAACGGTCAAAAATGGGGTGTCTACAGTCATTGTTATAGAATGGGTTGAACCATTCCTTTTATATGTAATGATGTAAGCCTACGTACAACTTATTTAATTGTTTATCATGTTGCATTCATTATGTAATTGAATGAGAGAATCTACATTTATTTATCCTTGTTAATGTATAGAACTTCTGTACATTATCTCTGAAATTGTTTTATAATAATGGATTGGTAATGATATCCATGAAATAAAAAGTGGGGAGTTACGTAACAAATACTTAAGCACAAGAGAGACAAATAAATAAATAAGATCACCAAACGCTTTTTCACTGGATTCAATATACTTTTTATTGAAATCGATAGATATTTTTAACATTTTCGTCAATTCAAGACATTTTTTTACAATATTTTTAATATTAAACAATGTCATAGGACACTTTTTAACGTCCTTTACTTTTTTATGGTACCTAGATAATGGGTTTATTATAAAATAAATAAAAAAATTCTTAGGATTTCGCGTGTTTTTCAATTTAAATCTAAAGTTTCAATTTTGACAAATTAAACCCTAAAGTTTCATCAATATTTCAATTTGTCCCCTCCATCCATCTCCGTTTATCTCCATTCATCTTTTTCTTTCAGCAGCACACAACTTTCACATCAAAATTCACCTGTTCAAGTCATCGTATCTCCCTCATCGTAACTCTGTTTCATCTCATTTTTGAGTCATTGGATTCGCCCCGTGGCATAATTTTCATTCCATTTCTCATATGCCTTGTTCCACTTCTTTTTTCATGCTGTCGGAGTTTCGAGAATTGACCAAAAATAATATTTTTCTTCCCCTTTTTTACTTTTCTTCAAGCCATCTTTTAAACTCCATAACTTTCTCAATTCCCAACGGTTTTACTCCGTTCTTTTGTCAATCTCTTCACCTCACTTTCTACTTCATTCTACGTTACCTCAATTTCTTACTACTCCTCGAAATGGGTGGTTTCGATATGTCGAAAGTAGGCCAAAAACTAACTTTGAAAATTTCAAAAGCTCATCTCTTGTTTCTTTTCCCTCCATCTTTCTTCTTCTTCATCTTCACCTATTACATGTTGCGAATAGCGGTTCTAGGTTTTGACAGAGATAGGCGATGGTAATGGTAGTGATGGTCCAATAGTGGTGACAGTAGTAGCGATTAACTTCATCATCACCACCTGAACTACCAACCACCACCATGTGAGCTTCATCATCAGCACCTCTCAATCTCACTGTTGCCATCAAACTCCATCACCACCACTTTTAAACCACGCCATCACTATTCTTGTAATCACTTCCTTAAACCGTGAGCTTCACTACCACCGTCGTCGCTGCCGTCACCCAGCTCCGTCAAAACCTAGAACTATCAATCACAACATGTTATAGGTGAAGATAAAGAAGGAAGATGGAAAAGAAATAAAAGAAATAAGTTTTTGAAATTTTTGAAGTTGGTTTTTGGGCTAATTTCGGCATACCGAAGCCATCCATTTCGAGGACGAGTATGAAAGCGACATAGCATAGGACGAAGTAGGAAGTGTGGTGAAGAGCTTGGCAAAAGAACGGAGTAAAACTGTTAAGAATCGAGAAAATTATGGAGTATGAAAGATGGCTCGAAGAAAAGTCAAATATGTAAAGAAAAATCTTATTTTTTGGTCAAATTTTGGAACTCCGATGACAAGCAAAAAGAGGTGGAACAAGGCGTATGAGGAATGGAATGAAAACTAAGTTATGGGATGAATCCAACGACATAAAATGAGGTAAAACGAAATTATGACAAGGGAGATACAAAGGCATAAACAATTGAGTTTGAATTTGAAAATTAT